GATGCTTTTTAACTGAGTTTTCTCAATTACTCCTTCCATCCCCTAAAAAAGAGTCGCTATGGGATTCGTGCTGGTCAGACTTTTCTAAATTTAACTAGGTTTGTAAAAAATATTAGCAACACTTTTATCTCTGAATAAATTTATTATAAAAATATATTCAATTATCAATCTAATGAAAACAATTATATAATAAAGGTATTAATATTTTTTATATATGTTTGATCAAAGTTAAAAATGTTTGACTTCCCGAAGTGAGAATGACGTTTTTATGTTACGGAGGAAGCATGCGCTAATAAAAATTACCTATTTTAATATGTGGTGGCTTTAATATCATAAAGGGACTGCATGAAAAAATAAATGAAACTATAATGACAAGTTGTCTTTCTTCTTCAAAGCTATTATGGATGTTTTCAACTTTAGAGAACTGAACTTGTCTGCACTTGCACAAATAATTGAAAAATACATTTTTTTAAAAGCTTGATAGAATTTTAGTCTTCGCTGCACTAACCCAGTTTTCGACATCACTGTCGGTTCAAAATCCCCCATCATTGCCGGATTTTGAACCGACAGTGATGCTCGCTGGCTACTGCTGCCGGTACTTCACCCGGCAATGATAAGGTTTAGAAAAACAAAAAAAAAGCAATCTAACAAGCATGCTGGCCGGAGCATGCTCGTTACCGCCGCTGCCGCCACTACATCAAGCATTTCATCCAAGAAAAAAATTCATACATCACAGATAAAGGACAGATTCAACACATCAGAAAAACTCGACGAAGGAGAAAGGTTCAATACATCACAAATCAACACATCCACAAATCGATTCATACATCACAGACAAAGGAGCATGGTTCAACACAAACATAAGGAAAGCCAAGTCGCCGCAAACAAAGGGGAGGCCAGGACGGGGAGATTGGGGATGCCGCCGGGTAGGCCAAGTCGCCGCAGACAACAGGAGGGGTAGGTCGCAGTTTCGCTGCAGGTCCGGCACAACTCCTCCGCATGTCCACGGCAGCTCCTCTCCACACCACACATGTAGTGCCCCCTTGAGCCCCCTTCAGCACCTAGAAACCATGTGCGGTGAGCCACGCGGAGAGGCAGGCCATTAGGAAGGCGCAATCTACGGACGGATGCGCGTCCACGGTGAGGAAAGACAGGAACCCAAAAATATAAGGAAAGCAGAAGAAATCACCAAAATGTCAGACACGTATATGGAACGACAAATGTGACATCGGTGTTGTTCAAGAACCATACCAGCCCAAATGCAGGGACGAAGAGGCGGGTGCAGCTCCGCGCAAAGTCGGGCATAGTTCTCACCCGATCCAACACCGGCGCGCGCATGAAGCGGACACCAGATCTGGCCCCCGAGCACTGCAAAAGGCAAAGCGCCGCGCCAAGAGGGCGAAAGCGGCGGCGCAGAAGCGACGGTGAGGCACGACCGACGGACGGTGAAACGAAGAAAAAAGGAGGACAGGAAGAGCCCTGGCGTCCTACCTCGTGCAGCGGTTAGGACGGAGCTGAAGACAAAAGGGAGGCGTGAGCGACCTTTTTACCCACGCCGCCCTCGGTGCCCTCGGCGCAGATAGAATTGGGAGGCGTGCGGAGTTAACTGAGATGGATAAAATTTTCGGGTCCGGAGTATGGATCAGTGCCGGTTTGGTAATTTATCCGACAGTAAATAGACAGTACTATCGGTTTGTATTAACAACCGGCGGTGATGTGGTTCTTTAATGTCGGTTTTAGCCTAGCCTCAATCATTTTCTAATTTTCAAGCTTGGAAGCGTACATCATTGTCGGTTCTCATGAATCCGACAGTGATGAGGCCAACAGTGATTTCAAAATCTGTAGTAGTGCTGATTGGGACTTAAAATTCAATCATACCACGGTCCAGACCCTATTAGAGAAATCTCTGACCACACCCCCTCTATTGTAAATACTAGAGATCCGTCTATGGCCGGCTCTCCTACTCCAGGCCTTACATTTGAGTTCGGTTGGCCATTGAGGGAAGTTTTTTTTCTTGACTTGTTTAAGGATATATGGACCGGTATACACGAAGGAGACACCCTTTTAGAATGATGACATGCTAGTACTTAAGGGAATGAGCTAAAAATGCCAGTGACGCTTACAAAAAAACTTGAAACAAACTTCTTGATAAGTCGAATGAGTTAGATAAGAAATTGGAATTGATGCAACTAGATGACGATGAAATAAATTTAAAACACGAGGTTATCCCAACTCCAAAGAGAAGAACAGTTAAAATACTATCAAAGAGCAAAGGTGAAAAAATCTTTTGGAAGCAGATGTAATACGAAGCATTTTAAATTAGTGGCTAATGAATGAAAAACATAGTAAAACTCATATCTTCCAACTGGAGCAAGAAGAGTGCGTAAAAAGTGGTAATGCTAATCACAAAAAGTATATATCACCAAGTATTACAAGAGTTTATTTAGTGATCGAGAGCCTTCTTTTGTGACTGTGAATGAGACTCATATAGAGGATGTCCCCCAAGTTACAACAGTAGAGAAAACTCGTATAGAGGATGTCCCCCAAGAAAAGAATTTAAACCAAGGGTTTTCTAAAGTTGAGTTAAAAGAGGCCATTTTTCAAAGATATCATAACTTATCTCCTGGGCCTAGATTCCTAACTAAATAAATTTTATTAGGTTTCTTGCATCATCATAAAAGGGGATTTGATGGCTCTTTTCGAGGACTTCCGTAGAGGTGTTCTCCCACTCTTTTGGATAAAATTTGGAAGTATAATAATCTTACTATCTAAAAGTAGTGATCAACACAAATCGAGCAATATAGATCAATCTATTTGCTGAATATTAGTTTTAAATAGCCACTAAATAGGACCGCCTTAGATGCCCAAACAACTCATATCCGACTCCACAAAATCCTTTTTCTCCCTGGGAGAAATATAAGGGAAGGTACAATTGTTTTACAGGAAACTATACATGGCGGCGTCATATGAAATAGAATTTTGAGTGTTATGATATTGTTTTGTACCATATTAAATAACACTATAACAGCGGAATTAATCTAGGATCTAGAATAAGGGAGTTTTGAATAAAATACACAATATATAAGTACTAAACTTAACATGTTTACAAAAAGTTGCAATAAGTAATAAGATTAGAGTTGAAAGCCAGAATACAGTCTCACGATGTCAAAAAAAATGCAATAAGGGCTAATGTAATTTAATATGGTTTTAACTTACCCCTTCCATCCCTTTTAAGTGTTGTCAAGATTTTTGTGCATGTCAAACTTTCTTAAGTTTGACTAAATTTATAGAAAATATTAGTAATAATTTTATCTCCAAACAAGTATATTATAAATTATATTCAATGGTTAACTAATGATACTAATTACGCCCTATAAATATTAGTAATATATTGTATATGTTGTGTTAAAGTTGAATACGTTTGGTTCCTCAATATATATGCGAGAACAACCATTAAAAAGAGGACGGAGGGAGTAATACATATTAACACGGAGAGACGTGATACAAAGGACAAAAACACAAATAGTACAATGGATACATTGATTAGAGCCCGTTAGAGACTATTGAAATAATATATAAATGGTATTATTTTAGTAAACAAATAGAGCAAAAGATAATCAATTTTAATTAGTTTGTACGTACCAAATCTATCCACAAACTTTATATAAAATTGTAGTTCGGAGCACAGGCAGAGCATCTCCAAGAGTATGCAAAATAATCTCCCAATCCAGGAATTTTGGTAAGATTGGAAAAAAAAACTCATCTCCAATAACTCCCAAACCCACCTCTTAATCTTTTGGCACTTGGAAAAAGCTACCCACATGTGCGTAAAGTTACACGCGCGTATCGTCGTGCCAATCTGGAGGTGGAAGGACGTGGGGAAGAAAAAAAGTAGGACAGGTTCCTGATGCAAATTATAAGAGAAAAATAAAGTATAACTTTGGTTAGTATGATTTAGAAATAGTTTATGATTCCTGATGTAAAATTATCTTTTATTTTTTAGGCGTAAGATTTTGTTACGGTTGGAGTTGTAACTTTTTTATGTCTTCTGATATATTTTTGCAAAGGTTGGAAAACCTGATTTTGCGGAGTATTTTTTTAGACCACTGTTAGAGATGCTCTTAGCACGACAAATAGGAAACGACCGTTCTCAACTTCTCATGGCCCAAAACTACAATCCATCTATTTCAAGTCGATGCTCCATTAGATTTCCCAGCAATAGTAAAGTTACTTGGGAAAATCAACTGGGCATAAAGAAGTACATTCCTACTGTTGTTTGTTCGTTCTCTACAGCATTTTCAATGTAGGGACAAAACCCATGACCAATCATTGTCTTATTAGAATTTTTTTTTAAAAGGCCAGCTGTTGTTCACGTGTAATGGAATCTGACTAGCTAGGTCAAGTCAAGTACCAATCAGCAAGTAGGTGGGTGCACCCACGCGGCTACGCCATCGCCACGAAGCAGCATATCCATTTCCCACACAGCAAGAAGCGAAGAACGGCATCCTTTCCTCTAAGGTTGAAGCTCCCCTCTTTTTCTTCAGACGTAACCCAAACTCCAGAAGAATGCTGTTGCGATTCTGAGGAGCGCAGAATACGGTAACAGAGCTACTCTACTACTAGCTTATATTTTACTCAGGTGTGTGATGCTTTCTTGGACCCTGCTTGTGTTGTTTCAGAATAGAGGCAAATCTGGTTGCCTTTTTGGTCTCTAGCTACATTTTTTTCAGCATGCCGCTTCTTTGTGTCTCTATTCTGAAGTAGGCTCACGCATCACCAAAATTACGGGTATTGAACATAAGGTTGAAACTTGCCTGAAACATTGATATATAGTTCTTATAGTTCTTGGAGGGATAGCAGACAAGTAGTTGAGGGCAATCGTACATGAAGACATCACACACAAGAAGTCTAGCAGATAGCTATTAGTAATATATATATCGAGAGGTTGTTAGTAATTAATCTCGCGTCTCGCCTGTGTTCTTCAGGTCTTGGATTCAAAGATGGTGTATGTTTACTCCCTCCCTTTGACGCCAGCGGTCATCCTCAGCTTTGTCAGTTCCCAAGTGGCGTTGTTGATGCAGGCGTATAAAGAGCACGAGCTGTATGTCACCGGTATGATTCCGGTAGTTATTTGGTATATGAACGCGCGCTCATACGTCGAACTGGAATTGCCACAGCCTCCTTTCAACTTGTTTCCTGCTAAGAATGTCAGGATCTACATCGAGACGGCAATTGTCGTGGTGATATCTTACGTGTCACTACTCATAGTCAACTGGAGCCACATCTGGCTCGTCATCTTCCCTATCATCGCCATCGGCTTTATCGTTGCGCTGTGCAGTCAGCTCAGTCATCAGGATCAGGCCGGTGGATCAAAGGAGCAGAGCAACGATGGTGAAGGTGAAGCTACTGCGCCTTCAGGGAAAAGGGCAGAGGGGCTGGAGGTAGTAGCACTGGTGCCGTACTGGGTGCTCTGCGTGATGGGCCACTTCCACGCTGACAAATTCGCCGTCTCCCAGTTCCTTCTCTTCTTCAGTTTCATGCTCGGGGCACTCACCATGATGATGACTCGGCTGGTGGGGCTGGCCACGGTGCATCGTGGCATCGCGCCGGCGTCCGAGCTGCTCCAGAAGGCCTCGCTCGTGGTGCTGCTGGTGGCGGTGCACGCGGTGGCCGCGGAGCTGCTGGGAGAGAACGCGCTGCTCTACTGCCTGCCGGAGATCGTGCCGGTGCTGCTGTGGCTCAGCGTTCGCCTCGACTGCGACGACCGCGCCATCATCACTGCCACTGCTGCCGACAGGATCAAGCAGCTGGACTTGGGCTGGAGAGTGCTCATTCTGCTCAACGCAGCGCCAGCTGCAGTCTTGTCGGCCATGCTAGCGGCGGGCAACATGGAGGAGCCCGTGCTCTACTGGTGCAGCAAGGCACTGATGTCTTGTGCTGTTTCGGCGCTTCTAACCTTGTACATTGTTTTCATGCTGTGCCAGTGGCCAGGAGGACAACGCGATGGCACGCTAGTCACAGTCACAGCTGCCTCTTTGCAGGAGGCAGTCGAGCTTCTCAAGTATTGGGCAAACGTTTTGCTGGCAGCGGTGGCTACGCTGCTAGTATTTACATCTCTAGCTTCTTTCCAACTAGTTCTACTGCAAGAACCGGCGGCCTCTGCATCAGCCAACCAAATTCTGCAACGACTATGTCAAAAATTCCTCCAGTTCATAATTTAATTGTGAAATGAAAAAAAATACTAATTTGTTCAGTTAGGCATATGATTTATCCTGGGGTAACCTTCTCGATGGATTGTATTAATGCACCCTTTTTTCGAAAGTGTGCATTAGCACGTGCTTCATTAAATGAAAGTGGGAAGTTTTACGAGCTCCAAGGATAGTTAGCGAGGAGCCGTTCACATCTTGAAGGAACACATAACACAAATCACCAACTAATGGTGGGGAAGTAAGGTTGTACTAACTAAATAACTGATGGCGCGACAAGGTGGAGGTGGAGCACAGCAAGGTATTAAGCAGCCATAGCTGTGAGCAACGCTAGACATCCGTAGCCCGCACCGATCTAGGCGTTCGCCTCGTCTGGGATGCAGCAGAGCAGCTCTGGCTGCGTCAAGGACCTGCGGTCGAAGGTGCGACAGTTCCTTTCCTTCCACAGACACCACGACACAAGCAGCACTAGCGAGTCGAAACTTCGCCGGAGGGCCTGCGGTAGTGTAGCCCGACCCAGCAGCCACCAGTCGAGCAGGGAAGAATCTTGCTGAGGTGCTGCGGCGAGGGAGCCCAAGGAATGCAGCAAACGTGACCATACCTCGCGGGCGTAGACACAAGAGCAAAGGAGGTGGTCTGTTGTTTCGTCAAGCTGATCGCACAAGGCGCATGCCGCGTCCAACTGGAGTCCATGCCTTTTCCTCCGCTCCGCTGTCCACAGTCGACCATGCAAGGCGATCCAAAAGTAGGACTTCACCTTCGGTGGAACCGCCGCACGCCAAAGTTCCTTGCCCCCGCCATGCTCGTCCAGCCCACAAAGTAAGCCCTGTACGCCGAACGTACGGAATACTGACCATCAGCTGACCAGCGCCAGATGAAGCGATCAGATTCCAAAGGCCGCAGCTGAACGTCTTGAAGCCTCGCCCATAGCTGAACGTACTCGTAAAGAACTGTGGCAGTATGGGCACCGGTGATGTCGCGCACCCAACGGCGATTAGTGAGGGCGTCCTTAACCGAACGCCCGAGTCTCCTACCTCCGACTGCCTTGAAGAGGTTGGGGGCGAAAGTGGGAATGGCCCCAGCAGGCAGCCACGCGTCAGTCCAGAACCGTGTGGAGGCGCCGTCGCCAATCTCGACAGTGACCGATGAGCTGAACATGGAGGATATCTTTCTTTCCGGAGTAGACGGCAGCAGCGCCCAAGTGGAGTCGGGCTTGGTCCGGCGTAGCCATTCCCATCGTAAGCGTAGCGCATACCCGAGGATTCTAAGGTCGGGAATCCCTAGGCCTCCATTGTCTTTGGGTGCGCACACTATCGGCCAGGCGATCTTGCAGCGTCCACCGGAGACCGACTCGGAGCCAGCCCAGAGGAAAGCGCGACGTCGTCGGTCAGTCTTGCCAATGGCCCACGCCGATAGGCAGCAGCAGATGGAGATGTGCACTGGAATGGCGGATAGGGTCGTCTGGGTCAGGGTCGTGCGCCCTGCGTCAGTTAGGAGGCCGCCCTTCCAAGTCGGTATGCGGGCCGCTACCGCGTCGACGAGCCGCTGCTCTTCGCAGCGGTTAATCCTGGAGAGCGACAGCGGCGCGCCCAGATATCTGGTGGGGAAGTTCTGGACCTTGCAAGGGAACACCTGGCGCACCGCGTCAATCTGTGACTGGGAGCAGCGGATTGGCGTGATGATGCACTTGTCGACGTTGGTGACGAGTCCGGACGCGCCCGCGAAGAGGTCCAGGATGCGCCGCATGTTGTTGAAGTCATTCACATTTGGGGAGAGGAAGATGACGAGGTCGTCGGCATAGAAGGACGCGCGGTGCTTGATCTTGTCCAAGGTTTTCATTATCGGAAATAAAAATTTATCGGAGGTCATAGATAAATAGGATAAGCAAGATATATCGGAAATATCGAACCAAATTAAAAAAAAAAATCAAATTGTTTTGAAAAAATTCCGTAGAATTTGAGTTGAAACTATTCCTAAGCTATTAAACATCACTTGTTCACAAATAAAAACAAGAATAAAACATTATAGTGTGGGATTGTCGCACGGCTGAATTTGGGTTGTCTGTGTGGAAGCAGGAAAGAAGGGAAAATTTTGGCCGATGTCAAATTTTATCGGACCCTGTGGATAGAAAGAAAATTTCGGAAATTTCCATGAATTTTGGCCGATAAAAAAAACCTTGATCTTGTCCGGCAAAGGAGTGAATATTGCCCGCCGATCCGCCTCGTGAATGAGCGCGTTCAGCACCTCCATGACGATCACAAATAGGAGGGGAGACAGGGGGTCGCCTTGTCGCAGGCCGCGGGCGTGGTAGATGCGGTTGCCGGGACGTCCATTGACCAGCACCTTTGTGCCAGCAGTGCGCAACATGGCGGAGATCCAATCCCGTCATCGGAGTGGGAAACCGGCGTGCTCCAGAACCTCAAGCAGTAACGGCCAGGCCACAGAGTCGAAGGCCTTGGCGAGGTCGATTTTGAGCAGCACCGCGGGGCAACGGCGGGCGTGCAGCCATCTTGAAATTCTCATGTATCTGCCGACCTCGGATGAACGCCGATTGGTTGAGCCTGACCAACTCATGCATTCTTGATGCTAGACGCAAGGCCAGGCACTAGGAGAAAAGCTTCCCCACCGAGTGAATCAAGCTGATGGGCCTGTAGTCCTTGAGCCCAGCCGGCGTTTGCGTCTTATGCAGCAGCACCATGGCCGCCAATCTCAGCCGCGGAGAACGGAGCGACTTGGTCAGCAAGGTCCAGCTGGGGTAGACCAAGTTGGGGTAGGTCTATGCGATGCGCCCGGATGAAGGCAGTCCCCAACAGATCATTATAGTATGAAAAGACGATGTCCGCCTTGGCTTCGTCTTCAGAGAACGTTTGCAGGCCTGTAGGTGGAAGTACCGCGTGCATGCGTCGCCCTCGCTGAGCTGCCTGGTTCTGGCGCGTTGCCGCGTCATGGTCCGGCTCAGGGAGGCCAGGCCGAGGACGGCATGTTTCAGCTCCTTTCGCAGATCCACCTCCTCGGCAGAGAGTTGCCTAGTCTCCTGTTGCCGATCTTTGTTGCGCGCCAGCTTCTTAACGCCTTAGCGACCGCAAGTATTTTTTGGTCTAAGACCCTGCACGGGTCAGATGCCGCGATGTGGCCATCCCAGGCGATGCGGACCACATCCTGGAAGCCGTCGATCTTCGTCCAATAATCGTCGAACCGAAAGCGAGGGCGCCCAGGGCTCGGAGTTGAGCACGAGCAGGAGAGGCGCGTGGTCCGAAGAATCACTGGAGAGGCAACGTAGGTGGTGGCAAGAATCGGCCGGTTCGCTCGGTCATAAACGATCGTAAATTTTCAGTCAGAGTAGTATTTTTCTCTCACACTAAACCAGTCAGCAGTAATAATCCACGAACGTATATGATCGTTTTAGCCCCAGCAGAACAGGCTGAATATTGCTCAAGCTAGCCAATCCACTGTGGCGAATACGCGGTCCAGGCGCTCCAGTGTGGGGGAGTCCCTGGGGCTGGACCAGTTGTACAACCTCCCCGAGAGATGTAGCTCATCAAGGTGAAGGTCGTCCAGCACGCTCCTGAAGCTGCGCATGAGGCCGGGGTGCAATCTACCGTTGTTCTTATCGCTCGCTTGGTAGATCATGTTGAAGTTGCCACATAGGAGCCAAGGTCCCTGAATGACCGAGCGCTCGGCCTAGGCGTTCGGTTAACCGATCGGTTTCGGTTCGGTTCTTCGGTTTATGACACAAATTCGGTCTCTACAAATAGGAACCGATCGGTTCTTCGCAAATCTTGGAACCGAGCAAAATCGGTTTCGGTTAGTTCGGTTTGGCTCCGGTTCCGACCGAACTAACCGAGGATTTACACAAGCAGCAAAAAAAAAGAATAGGAAAAATAGGAAAAAAGATTTTTAAAAAAGCACAATGCCGAGATTTTAAAAAATGTGAGGGTGTGAGGCTGTGAGGGGGTGTCATCCACCTTTTATATCTAGGGTTAAATTGGTATTAGGCCTAGGTTGTAAGGTTTATTGGGTTTATTTGTGAATTTTGGTTTCTTCGGTTATTTCGGTTCCGGTTCTCGGTTATTTCGGTTAACCGATCTTTCGTCCGGCCTGCGCTCCCACTTGTTCACTAGGACACGTTTAGCTTGCTTCTCCGGATTGGGGTCACGGAACTCCGATTTGGCCATGAGCCTGTCGCTGCGTCGGGGGACCAGGCTAGCCGGATCCCGGCGTGCGGTGCGCGGACGCGGAGCTGTGCGCACGAGGTTCTCCTGTAAAGGCAGCAGCAGGGAGTTGATCAAGAGCGCCCCGGAGTCTTCCTCGCCCACGGCCAGTGCCTCGTCACTCACGGCTATGGTCGTGGTCGGTGCGACAGTGAAGGACATGCCTTCGGCGTTGGGTGGCGTGGCCATCAGCTCAGGCTCTCCAGGGACGGTCTCCCCGTCCACGACAGGCGCCATGACGCTCACAGCAGAGCAGGAGGCAGACGCGGCAACGGGCGTGACGGTGACCGGCATCGTCGGCGCAGGGGGCGGCGTGGCCGTCACAGCCGTGGCTGACAGGCGCAGACGACGGGCAGCAAGCCGGGGGCGATGTAGGTCGTGCAGGTTGCCAATTGTCCCATAAGTTGCACAAGTCGAGGCAGGGCTGATCAGGTGGGACGTCGCGCACAGGGGCCTCCACCTCGCAGTATGCAGGCAGGGGAGCGAGGTCTGGCACAACACCCCAGTCCAATTGGCGGGGACGCGGCGCCCCCTCCAGCAACGACAGGTCCGCGCCCATCGCGGAGCTAATGAAGCCCAGCGGCTCGATGTCCGCGGCGCCGTCGACCAACGAGGGAAACGTCATCGATGCACACTGTGAAGCTAATAAGATTGTGTAACAACTCTTGGGATTGGTACTATCACTTTAGTGATTAGAAGATTCAGATACAAGGAATTGGATCGTCGCAGGCAACTTTAGCCGCATCTCGCCTCGAACTCCGACATGAACCAAATCAAATTCCAGTTTGCTTCCTCCCCTTTCTT